TCAAAATAGCAGTGCCAGACTTTCATTAACATCAACGCTAGACTGCTAAATATTTAAAGAAATGGATAAATTTCACCTGAAGTGGGACAGCCCGGCACACATGAAAGCAGAAGCACAATCAAAATGTAAATCTAAGCGGTTGTATTTATCTGCACAAATTCGGTGTCACAGTCAGAGGGGGATGCCAAAGGTCTCTTTAAACAAAATATTTTCCTTTGATTGAGCTTTTTGTTTTTAAAACAGAATCATTCTCCAACCCCCTGCAGATCCCTACAAGGCTCAGAGCTGACAGCAGTAGGTGGGGGTGGTGAAAGGGAGAGCTATATATTTGATTTGTTTGGGTTTTTTTACCTTGCAGAGGAAAATGAACTCCTACAGCAAACTCCTCTATGCCAAAACAGCCATGACACATCACCTCCATCAATGCTGACAACTTGAAATTTGATGTAGACATAATTTGCACATGACAAGAAGGATTCATTCTCACTTATTTCACTCTCCGGTAAATTCTTATGCCTGTCAATATTTGCGTTTGATATGCCCACAAACACGTACTGATCCCAGCAAAGATAACTACCTGTACCGTTTTCCACCAAACAATTGAATAAACTAAAATCTCCACCATCACAACCCTTCTCAATGAGACATGACTTGGACATTACAGTCTGCAGACAACAGACTATGCTTCCCATTTCAAAATCTAATTTACTTTTAGCAGGACAAGGCAGGCTGATCATCTGTTGTGAAACAAAGAGAAATGCTCAAACAAACAAACTGTGTCCTGCTCGAAGCAGCCACATTGTTTCAGTTCTTTGGAGTCCAAATTTTGCAGGTCGCATGGAGCAGCAAATTGCCGCCAGGGCCGAGTCTGCAATGCTTAAAATCCTACTCTTCACCTCACTTTTCCTATCATGCCTTTGTGCTGTTTAATATACCGTTGACCTCCAAGTAGTGTTAAAAGAACAGTCATCTCCATTATCTCAATCAATAAGTCTTTACAGCTGATGAAAATAAAAACAAGTAGCCCTACCGAAAGCTGACATGGGCTATGCAGAAGGCGACCTGCAGGGAGAGGTGCAGTGTACATCACCAAACCTGAGTCCCAACGTATACCAAGCAAGCTGTTACCTTAACATGTTCAGCCTAAATGCCTTAGCACGTATTTTGACCAACGTGCTGGACTGCAGCTTGTGTCATCTAAAATCAGACTCTTAACACACCCTGGATGTGGTGCAGATTTTCCCCAGCTGCCCTCTGATTTCTCTGTGATACACAGAATAAATTGTCCACGCAGCAGCACAAGGAAGCCCTATGTACAAGTCAGCAAAGGAAAATTAATAAAACAAAAGGGCTGCAGAAACATATGCTTTGTTTTACTTTGCACATGTGAGACACTGAGTTCAGTAGCAACATTTTTACAAGTGATAGGACAAGGGGTAATGGCCTGAAAGAGGGGAAGTTTAGATTAGATATTAGGAAGAAATTCTTTACTGCAAGAGTCAGGAGACACTGGAACAGCTTGCCCAGAGAAACTGTGGGTGCCCCACTCCCCTGGAAGTGTTCAAGGTTAGATTAGATGGGTCTTTAAGCAACCTGTTCCAATAGAAGGTGTCCCTACCACAACAGGGGTGTTTGTTGGAACTAGATGATCTTTAGTGGTCCCTTCCACCCCTTCCAACCATTCTGTTGTTTAAAAGACAGAATTATCACACTGAATATATATAAGAATGGCAAGGAGAGAGGAACACCAGGTCTGGGGGATCTAAACTTCTCTAACACAGTAAGATAGCATCTGCTATAACCATGAGATCCAGGGAGCAGGTCACCCACAAAAAAATATCTTTCTATACCATTGCTCATGCAACTTAACTAAACAAAACAAAAAGCTCCAAGAAGACATTCTGGATTTGGCTGCTGGCAAGAGCACAAATGAGAAATGCTTCAGTAGCCGGGAAATATGGTCTACTGCTAACATGGCACATACTGCTTAAATAAACTAAAGCAGAATTTTCATATGAAAATTTATTTATCTAGACATTGTTTGGGGGCAGTCTGTGCATAACTGTGAAATGAGATGAATATTTTTTCCACCACAGGAGGATAGAAGGTTTGAATACAGCATGAGAAAGGGATTCTTTGAACAAACAACAGAGCGGAAGGCATACCACTGTAGTGAAAACATGCTGTAGGTAAAGGCAAGGGCAGTCCATGGGAGAAACAGGCCATGCTGCTTGGATGTAGACCAGCACAAACTTAAAAGTGGCGCCTTTCAACAGTTTCCTTCCCATTTAAGAAGTTCACACAAGCAAGAAGATGCAAGAACAGAGCTGATATATAAAACAGACTAGAAAGAAATTCCTGGTTTAAGATTCAAGTGAGTTTTTTTAACATTTATTTTCTTCTTATTGAGCTTTATTACTGTCCTGTTACTAATAAGAGGCCAATGAATGTATGTAGTTCTATGTTGAGAGGCAGCCTCCTCAGCTGGGACATTTCAAGAGCATACACTCGGGTGTACTCTGGTCGGGATCCCCATTAAAAACATTGAGCAAAAGCATGCACACATTTCTTAATTCAACATGTCATCCCTCTAAGGCCTAGGGACCTCACTTCAGCAAGTATTCTGAAAACATTTTTTCAAAGCTGGAATAAGCCAACACAACCAACTGACATGTCCATAATAATGTTCTTTCCTATTACTGAGTGGCACTGGTTTCTACCATGTCTAACAGCCAAAACATGATAAACATAACTTAAATACTGTTTATGGTTGTATTATTTTTCCATCTGGCTTCGATCTTTTTTCTCTTTGTTTCACCATTAGGATTCTGTTTCGCAGGGATTTGGTTTTTTTACTTAAAACCAAAGTCCCTTTATTTACCAGCACTTGTCACACAGTCCTTATTGCAATGAAAAAGTACAGACACTGTCAATATCCCCAAACGCAACAAATAATGAACTTCTTTCTCTGCTACAAGGTAAGCCAAAAGTTAAACACTTCCAAATGCTCCTAGCAATGCATCAGATATTTCCTCTACAAACTCCTCATTTGCAATGCTATTGCAAAACCAGCAAACACAGTTCTTGAAGGACTTAATAAGACTGTTTGCCTAATTATTCCTCTTCACTCAGCACTTGGGAGGTCTCAAGTAGCAGGACTATTGGACACTATATTTTAGAAAGAGTCAGAAAATGAACAAATACATCATCATCATCATCATGGCTAGGCTTCGTGAACGAAGATTTGAGATGAATACAACAGATTTAAGGAAACAATTAATACAAAGGAACTTGGGGGGTTGGGGTTTTTTGGCTTTTTTTTCAACTCACAGAGGGTAACTGACAGATGGCTGGTAATAGTCCTCACATCTGCAAAAGGCTGATTTGAAGAGGAAGATATTTTTCTCCAAGTCCACTGAAAACTAAGAAAAATGCTGCCACCTTGACTTGCATGACTTTACAGAAACAGGATCATGAAACACACCAAACTGCAATGAAAGTAGTAGGAAACTTGCTGCTGAAGGTTTTTCAGCTTGGTCCAGATAAACTTTATGTCGCTGGAGGGGATGACTAGCCAGCTGACCAGCACTGCTGCCTTTCAGCCATGCCTGTCTTCAGGCACAAACACGCCCGTTCGGGACCTACAGCAATGCCTGAGGGGACAGATGTGACTTAGGGGAAGACCAGGAAGTTTGCAGATCCTGGATCATGCTGCTGTGATAACTGCATGACTGCCACCAGCACAGAGGGATCCCGGAAAACCACCAGTGTCCGGGCTATGAGACCCCAAGATTACGAAGGTTTGGGAAAGTTCCACCTAGGAGCTCTACCTGGGAACGAACAGGGTGCCACCATCACACTGCAGCTGTGCAGGGCCACCACCTGTGATGCCCCAGCTGCTGCTTGTCACCAAAGCCCTTCCTTCCATCTGCTACCACTGTGGTTTTCGTGGCCCCTTTTGAACAAATGGTTGTGCTGGCTTGGTTTAAGGGAAAAGCTGTAGAGTATCCTAGTCAAAAAAAATTAATCTATTTGAACTTTAAAGATACGCTTGCAAGTTTTGCATGAAGAAATAATAAGGTATAACTTTTTTACAACTCAAAAGCCAACGTTATAGGCAAATACATTTTGAATCTGCTCCACTGATTTTATCCTGCTTATAGCCCCATGCATTCATTACGAAAATTACAGATATATGCTGCTTACAATTCCTATTTTTAATAACAACACAAATATTCTTAAGCCATAGTCACAACCAGAAGTGAAATAGCATGCTGAGGGATGTCAGTATTGGCAGAACCAAACCATTTGGAAAGTGGTAGTAACATAACATCGCTTCTGTTGTACAACAGAAACATTATTGGAAAATTTACCCTCCATCCAGAAAGCGGAATTGTGGTTTGAAAATAAATTATTGCCAAACAAACAAAAGAAAAGTCTGAATTCAGTGTACATCACTGAGGGCGAAGCACTAAAAAAGCTATTCTAGTGATAAACTCTAGCACTTTGCGTGAATATTTATGCACTAAAGAATAGCAACTAAAGCTATTTTAAATACATAAAATAAATACCTACAAAAAGTCAGTGATCTACCAAATGATGCTGATCTCAGCGCCAATAAAATGCATTTCATTAATAGGAATGATGACTGGAAAGATTACAACTTTCTTAATAGTCTTAATAGCATATAAAGACTGTAACACAGGCAAAGCAGAAAATATTTTTTAGAACCTTGGAAAACAAATTATTTAATTACACTGTCTTTCTCAGAGGCCACCTGTGATCCACACGATTATAACCTCAGTGTCTGCAGCACAAACTCTCTTTGCATAGGTACAAATTTCCATGTTTAGAAACCTGGAGAAAGAGTGCTAGTGCAGAGAAAAACAGTATTTACTTTCTCTGTCTCACCCTCCCTTGATATCACGCTGCAGACCAAGTTTCCAAACAGACTTGTACGTACATACATACAAGGATGCACACAAGGAGCCAGTACTTACAGCTAAAGATGCCTGGAGGTGGATGCTCCGTTACCAGCAGGCAGTTCTCTTCGTCACTGTTATCCCCACAGTCATTCTGTTGGTTACAAATCAGCGAACCAAGATACAAGCATTTACCACTGGCGCAGGTGAATTTGCACTCTGAAAGGCAAAAAAGAAGCAAACAAACAAAAAAAAAGTGTGAGAAAATTGATGCCTACCCTTCTTCGGTGCTAGAACGACTGATACTGAAGACAATACATTTTAAGTAGGTGCTGTAATAGTGGATGGGTCTTTGGCACTTCAGCACCAAAATAAACAATATTGTATTTAGAGTACTGCATGTATAAATATACACGTGACACATTCCTGATCACCAGAATCAATCCACTAGTAAACCAGGTTGGCCATTTGGGAAAATGCAACTGTTCTAAAAATAAGCAATATTTTTTGTAGTTCATGTTGATTACAGTTCAATTTGGACATAGACCATCTTCTCATACGTGTTTGTGCGGCACCCTGCATATTTGGGGAAAGACAGCACTATGAATAAAAATAATAACTGTCTCACATTAAAAAAAAGTCTTGCTTCAGCTGTAAAACAACAGTATAGTCTGTAACCAAGACCAATCCTGTCTGGACACAATTATTCCCTAACTACCCTCCCAAAGCCAATTTGCCAGTCTCCCAACTAATTACAATCAAGCGCTTGGTGTTTGCACATTGAACTCCCACACACTAGTGTTCTTTTCAAAATTAGTAAACTTCTAAAACCCCTATAAAGTGAATGCTATATGCAGGCATGCTGTAGTTTTCACACTTTTTTCATTATCAAAAAAAGAGAATGGTTTCTCCTAAATATGATTCTGTCATGAGAACCATTCCTATGAGACAAAGTAAGTATAGGAAGTATTGAAGTTGCAATTTAGAAATGTTCACAAAAATATACATGCAATCATAAAAAGCTTTCTCACTAGGCTTGTTACAAAGTTAAATACACTACACATAATGAACAGAGGGCATTGTATCTAGACAAATTATAATTTAATGATTTCACTACCAACATGTTGACAAATTCTAGTGATTGTCATTCACAAGCAGAAGCAAAGTAGACAGAAACACTCACAAGTAGTTTATTAAAGCAGCGCTGTTCCCTGAACCCTGGGCTTCCCTAAGGCTGCAGTTTGGGTTGGCTGGTTCTGCTTCAGAAGGATGATTTTCTGGTTCTTCCCAGCAATGAGACAGCATTTGTTAATCTCGAACAAGATCAGCAAGAGACTTTCCTTTAATCTTAACAGCACTTGCACTTATTCTGAACTGATATGACAGGACCTCCAATTCTAAAAAGCCCCTAAACCAGTTACTGTGGTGTGATACTTACTCACATGTATCTGTTGTGTAACGCAAGCAGGGTAATGACAAAGGAGAGAAAAAAGTTTGAGAAAGAGAAAAAAATTTTTTTTTCTTAGCAAATTTCTTTCGTAGATAAAAGTCATTTGCAAACCTCACTCTGAACACTTTTCAAGAATATTAGTAACATTTTCGTACACATATCAGCAACAACCTGCTGCAACAAAAAAATGTATGCATCAACATGTGTAACATGTAACATGTTACTTAGGAATATAAATAAAAGGCATAAAATGCTACGCAAGGAGAGCAAGCATTTCCTGTGTGGGAAAAGAAAACCAACCCTATCTTTCTTTTTCACTAGGTCAAACTGGACTTACAAAATTTCTGAGTATTTGCCTAAATAAGGTCCTCAGCTTTAAGCTTTTTCAGTCCAATCCTGTAGTACCTGAACTATTAAAACTGTAAAATAAAATACTGTACAAAGTATTTTACCCTGTTCTTTTGTTGCCTTGCCCTTCCCTACACCAAAGAACTGAAGAGGCATTGAAGGGCTTAGATTTTATGTTTTGAGTATAGACTATAAAAAAAAAAATCATAACCAAATGAAGTAAGCCTTTGAAACCCAAGGAATTAAGAGGGTCATTAACAGTTAGTTTTGGAAAGGAGACTTAAAAGACCAGCCTCAATATTAGCAATACGATAATTACAATGTTTTAGGAGTTGTTTCTGCAATTTCATGAAGAAAGTGGAACAAGAAAAGGAATATAACACAGGATGAAATCAGAGTGGTGAAGAACACAATGCTTCTATTTGAAAGACAAATGTCAAACACCATATTGCATGAAGTTAGAACATCTGGCATGCTACTTTGGCTACACTATTTAATGCTTTCCAGTGCCTTTGTGTTGAGTCCTAATGTAACGCTTTCCATGCTTCCCCCATGGCTGATAGAAAATGCTCAAGCAAGATGTAAACTCAAAAGCTATTAAAGCTAAGAATGCTAGGTTTCTGTCTGCCACCAGATTATACAGTTTTCAGACAGAAGACTAAAGCATTACAGTTTTAGTAGCATTATTAAAGTCTTAAAGGTCTTGTTTTTTAACTAAAATTACTGTAAGAGGACTGACCAGAGGAAAGAATTTGTGCTGTAAGATGTTTTGGTTTGGCTTGGGTTTTTTTTGGTCATAGATAACAGATCACATTGAAATCTATATTCAAAAAACAGACTCAATCAACTTTTCTTGTGAATTATTATGGCTACTTTGTTTTTCTCTCAGATATGTGAAAATTGCCACTGTCAAGGTAAATAAATAAAAGAGTCACAGGGCCTCTTGTCCTCATTTGATGTGCCCACATTGACTGGAAGGTTGCTCATGGTACCACGGGAATTGTTGATTTTAAAATGGGACCTGTTATCAAAAATCGTATTGCCTTGTGATCTTGCACCAAATCTATTTGCCAAGGAAGCAGTCATCCTCTATTGGCCTGGCTGGGATGGAGTTAACTTTCTTCATAACAGCAGCCTCTATGGTGGCAGTTTGGACCAAAACAGTGTTGATAACACACAGTGTTTTGGCTATTGCTGAGCAGTGCCTGCACAGCACTGAGACTTCCTTTTTTTTTTTTTTTCTCACACATGCATGTGCAAAAATAACTTCTATATCCAAAAAAATTTAATATCTAATGGAGGACACAAAAGTGCAAAACTTAGCCTGCATAATCACATTCTGTTGAAGTCTGAAGGAAATAAAGGAAGTATGTATTGTAGAAATGGGACAAATTAATTAAACAGATTATTCAATGAATATACAGATACTTCTGAACATGGAATATACTTATGATCGGGTATTTGTAACTTGTAAACAGAAATTCAGTGCCTTAAATTAGTTTGCGTAGTAAATGCATTTAAACAGTGCGTGCTTTTAATAAAACCAGAAAAGAACCCTTCCTTGTAACTCAAGGTGGATTCAAAATTCATCTTGACAGAGACAGCAGAAATTAGAGTTTCATCAAACTGAAATAAACCTGCAGAGGTCTGTACCAAAATACAAGGAGAGAGCTCAAAACGATCCGACAGGGAAATCCAGACCAGTCCAGACTAGACCAATATGCCTAATGACACACCAGAGAGCCCTTTTCAGTACAAAGTCTTGTACTTGGCCTGTCTAGACAAGAACAGGGGTAAAAGCTCCTGTTCTGAAAACAAGCCAGCATGATCCTTCTTTCATGAATAATGTTTCAAAGCTAGACAGTTTCCCTTTTCATTTTCAAGTGGCAATTACTGAAACATCAGTCGGTTGGTCAGCAAGACTCTGACTAGAGCTAAACCTGAAGCACGATGACAGCTACTGGAGGTTGAAAAAAAAAAAATCAACCCTTCTTATAATTATGTCTTACTATGTTCATAATTATGTCTGGAGCATAATTAAAAAATTTATCTTTATGATATAGTGATTCTTCAACATAAAGTTTCAATAAACGTACTTCCAGGTAGAACTGAAAAAAAAAAAAGAATGCTAAGAATACTATTATGAACATTTCCTATTTTTAGAAACTTCACGCAAATAGTACAAATAAGTATATTACATTTTCAAGGTAGATGCTTGTATGTATAATTAAACACAATTACCAATTAATATGACTTCATTTCAAATAGTTTCAAATAGTTAATTGAAGGTTATTTTTCTGTTGAACAGCTAAAGATGGGTCTGCATCATGATACAAAAAACTCCTCTGATCAGATTTTTTATTGTGAAATGCAAGATCTGATGTGTTGGGTAGGCTTATTTTACACTTTCTGTGCCTAGCCAACAAGACAATTTTATACTTGCATTCAACTTAATTCTTTTAGACTTCATTTACACTTGACTTCACCCATATGAACAGCACTCCCATTGTTTTGTCATTCCACTTACCGTAGGGCATTTTTAATTATAGCTAAGTGATGTTTGTTTTTCTAATGTAAGTCCAACCACAGGCCAAGAAAAAAAAGCAACGAAGTGTCATATTGAAAAAATATGGTAGTTTAGGCCACTGTTATGATGCATGTCACAGCTACTTATTTAATGGGTCTAAGATGATTATCTGACCCAGGGGCAGAATTCTGTTCCATCCATTCAAATAAGAGATAAAAAACTGTATGTGCAGCCAGTGATTTCAAACTGTTGTGACTAAACTGTAGTAACGTGGTTCAAACGCACAAAATGAAATCCTAAGTGATGTCTGGGACTTAACCGAAGCGTAAAGGCACTCTCCCAAAATCCAATGGACTGGCAGCAGCCCGGGCAGCACGACCAGCAGAGGGTGATCAAATACCCTACTGAAGTCAAGTAAGTGGAAGGTGAAAATCTCTTTGCCTCCGGGTGGATCTAGGTCTCCAGAATAAAGGTCTAATTTCTAATTTTTTACATAAGGACTCCATTTTAAGTATGTCATCATACTTCTCCATACTCCTGCTCATATTGCAGCATGTAAGAGCCTAAAAGAAAATATGTTTAAAGGGCATCATCACCTGTTAAAAGGATAATAAGAGACAGAAGCAGTAAATTGGGGAGGGTGGGAGGAAGCACACTTTGCTAGAGATTAAAGAAATATAAACCACAAATACCAGAGTCAGTACAATAAAACCCTGTTCAACCTCTCATAAACATCTGTCTGTGTATTATTTTTAATATCGTAGATTGTAGCTTTATAATGGGAAGTAAATCATAAATAGGAGACATGCACACAAGGAACATGTTTATTTGGGAAAAGGCTTGGTTAATAAGGAGGATGGCAGGCTGCCACACGATCTAATAAACCTCCATTGG